CATGTCACGACATTTGAATCAGGCAGGCACACGTCTTGCAGGTGTGGTTTTCTTTCCTTTTGGTTCTCTGGTGAGGTGAAACATATTGTGCATCTAATTCGATGGAACTTGGCAGCTGTTATATGCCGATTGGGGCAAGACCTGACCGCGTGCCTGGAGTGGCTTAACGCACGACTTCTAGGTTTAGGGACTGAATCCTGCTTGTGAAAACTTCAGCATCGGTTTTCTTTCTCTCTCTCCATTTGAGCAATGTACCCGTGGACACCCCCTCCGACGTCATGGCCTCCCCCGCCGCAGCCTTCACCTGCTTCTTCGACGTGGCCACAATCAACGCCGAGTGCACATTTATTTGGACATCCTTCGCCATTGCATCCTACATGGTCTTCGTCCTCTTCGCTCATGTCGCCTGCCTCAGCCACACCATCTTTGTCATTCGCATCATTGACCACAGCTCCTCATGCGGTACCATCTCCCCACCTCGTGCCTACAATGACCACACCCATGGTTCCTGAAACCACCATGGTGCACACCGCTCCACCGGCTTTCACTACTCCCACGGCACCCACCGCTACATGGCATCCTGCTCCCGCTCCATCGCCTACATTGACTACTCCACCGACACCACTGCAGAGCTCTCCGTACCCACCTCGCACCCTTCACCCTCCACCATTGACTGAAGCATCTACGTTTCCTCCTGATGGACCTCAACAACCTGCAGTCAAGGCCGCCCCAAAGCTTCGCTCTGACAAGAAACCTGACAAACCACGCCGTTCAGCTCCAAAAGCCTCACTTCCTGTTACACCACCGGCACCAACGACAACATCGTCTCCGCCCATCTCGCCAGAACTTGCAGCGCTGGGTTCCACTACACAACAACTTGCTGAATCGGTTCGTCTAATCCAAGCTCAACAACAGATGATCCTGGACTCCCAACGCGCTCAAGAACAACGTCAACAACTTCTCCACCAAGATGTACCTACAACTGGCCCCACACCGCCCACACCATCACCTACATCGGCACTACCCACAACCATGCCGCCACCTGCACCGAAAGCGAGACCCACTGAACCTGAAGCTCCGGACCATCGCACCGTCTCTGTTCCAGCTGGTCCTCTTCCTCACGTTCCACATGCTCCAACATCGCCATCACGCCGACCACGATCCAGGACCCGAAGATCACGCTCCCGTCGACCTTCCACACAACCGCATCATCGTCGACCTTCCCCTCACCGTGCTGCTCGACCTCGCTCTCCCCTTCCTCGATTCCGGTCTTCGACAAAACACGACAAGGATCGCCGAACACCTTCTCCATACAGAAGAAGATCACCGCCAAGACGACGCTCTCCAGCGGTTCCTCGACGTCACCGATCTCATCCCCGACCACGCTCCAGAACTCCTCGTCGTCATTCCCGAGGCCGCGAAGTCGTATTACGACCAGCTACACGTCCATCCAATCCAAACTTCATCCCCACACCTGATGCTGATGACACCTGGGGCGAATGGAACAACAGCCACTACCCTGACGACCACCATCACGGCACCGCTCGACCCAAATCTCCCGCAGGACCCCCACCACCTGAACCATCCACAAACCCACCAACACACCCAGCAGCACCACTTGGAGCCGTGGCCTTTCGTGTCCCTGACGGTGACAGCGAAAACTCAGATGCAGCCGAAGCATTTTCAATCTCAAAATTCGACAAGAATGACATCGAACTCAGCGAACTTGTTGAGGCGGCCAATGATCCACTTCGTGTACGATGCCTGACCGAGCTCGACCCAAACTATACAGTACCCCTCTGTACATCATTGAACCAATCCAACAAGCTTCTCTTCAATCACTTCGTTGACGAAATGTTCAATCAGTTGGCTCAACCATATCGTACCGTCAACAACCAACTTATTTTCATCAAAGCAAGCCAAGCTACCGTCAAGAATATTGCCAGGGCCTTTGCACAATCCAGATTACTTGACATCGATCTGGCAAAGCAAACCAAAGCATTCTATGTCGAGCCAGAGAACCTGCTGACCATCACGGTTCCAACGGGGTTGCCCAAGAAACCGATCTATCGTGGCGAACACGCGGGCACCTACCTGATCTACCACAAAACGAGTTGGGAAACAGTTGCCAAGATCCTCGCTGAAGATTGCATTCGCCCGGCAACTTGGACAAAAAACGAGGCAGGCTACCCGACTCAATACCCATGTTACGGGTTCTTCGGCATGTCCTCTGAGATTCCTGACATCGATGACCTACCTGGCTATGCTGTCAAGTTATGTACATCCCAGCTCTACCGCATAGGGAAAGGACAAAACCCATCTGGCCTATTGGCCATTTGTCGCTCTCCCAAATGCATGCGGGCCCTATCTGGAGGAAATGACCAAATTCAACGCTTGTGCAACCTACAGGGCATCTCCAAGGGCAAAGACAATGCAACGGCTATGAACTCCAGTGCTGCATCAATTTGCTACGTTGCCTCTACTCATTCGGTTTTCCCAGGATTGATCACACACCCGGCAGCGGAAACGAACCCACCCACTGCCGCAGCACCAAATGAACCTTCGGACAACACACCAGCTGATCATGAACGAACTTCCAGCACGACCTGACCCTACCGCTGATGCACCTGCACCTTCAGATCCACCACCAGACGACTCTCGAGCGACAACCAGCCACCACGAGACCACCGAACATACCGCACCAGATCATGTTCGCCGACATTGGAATGACAACCATTCGTGGGACAGTTCAACATATACCCGTCGAGACCGCCGTTCATCCTATCGTGAAGGCCACTCTCGAGATCAACATCGCGAAGGCCAAAGGCCATGCTCGATCCCGCACCTCGGCATACAACCACTCCAGATCTCGCTGGTAAGCACTTCATCCCTGAGGAGCACCTGGCAAACTGTGGACTATTCCATGACTGCGACCCAGTGAGCCTAGTGGCCTTGACCGATTCTTTTGGAGTAACAATGCTTCTCCCGACATTCGGTATTTACGCCACTTCTTCCTTCAAAAGATATGGGAATTGCTACCTGCGCACCGTATTTGTTTCGTTTTTCACCTCACGTCTCACACACCTCGGCCGAGTTTACCATGTTTCACACGTTTCAGATCGTATGACATCTTCGTATCACCTTTTCACCCTACCGCAGTTTTCAGTTGGCTGATCGCGCTTATTTCGACTTATCATCTCGTGGCTCCTGTCTGCATCATGGCGTCCCAGGATCTGATCTCCCAGTTTAGCCCTGACCTGAATGCCATTCCTCCTTCCCAACCTGATCGCTCACGCGCACCTCCTCGACCTCAACATGGCTGGCATCAAACAGTACCTATGTTTCGTGGCCCGATGCACTTCGCAATGACGACCCCTCGACCGTTTTGGAATCCTGCTGGTATACCGCCTCCACCACCGACATCTACATCGTTCTCAACACGCCCAACATGGACTCCACCCACATCACCTTTCCCACCTACACCGCCTACGTTCTCCCAACAACCTCCCAACAACGCCAATTTTGCACCTCAACGACACCCTTTCACACCGAGATCGCCGAGACCTATGTCATCTCCGGGCGGAAGCTCTGCTATCAATGAGGGATACACTTGTCGGCCAATTGAAATCCCACCGGTTGACCAATGGAAACCTGACGTCGACTTCCACGACTCCAACAAGATCAATGGGTTGGATTTCCCCTCCAGAATCCGCCAAAGCCGATTTTTCCAGTTACAAAGACATTGAAGGTATGGATCCTTTGCAAGTCCCACTCTGGAAGTTCTTGTACCAGGGCTTACATAACACCTGGCTCCGCCGTGTTGCATACGGACGAGAAAGCTTCGTCCTTCCCTTTGACAACATAGGCACTACAGTATTTGTTGCCGAATTGGTATCGCAACTACGCACCCGCAATGTGGATTTGGACAAACTGGCTACCTTTCGCTCTCCCTTCACAGAATCCATTTTGTGAAGGCAGCTCCCTTCACAGAATCCATTTTGTGAAGGCAGCTCCCTTCACAGAATCCATTTTGTGAAGGCAGCTCCCTTCACAGAATCCATTTTGTGAAGGCAGCTCCCTTCACAGAACCCATTTTGTGAAGGCAGCCCCCTTCACAGAATCCATTTTGTGAAGGCAGCTCCCTTCACAGAATCCATTTTGTGAAGGCAGCCCTCTTCACAGCATCCATTTTGTGAAGGCAGCCCCCTTCACAGAATCAATTTTGTGAAGGCAGCCCCCTTCACAGAATCCATTTTGTGAAGGCAGCTCTCTTCACAGAATCCATTTTGTGGAGGCAGCCCCCTTCACAGAATCCATTTTGTGAAGGCAGCCCCCTTCACAGCCCCATTCACAGAATCCATTTTGTGAAGGCAGCTGCCTTCACAAAATGTATTTTGTGAAGGGAGGTCCCTTCACAAACTGTTTGCTGAGTTCTAAGCGGTGCTTGCATCTGTACCACAATGCATGTCAGCTGCTTTGCAAAGTGTGTACCTGCAGCCATTTTTGCAAGCTCAAGCTGTTAAATAAGCTTTTTAAAAAACAATTTCTAAGGAGGGGCCTGAAACAAGGCCATGAAGAAGCCAGCTGCAGCAGAAGAAACAAGTGAATAGGCTGCAGCTGAAGCAGAGGTAGCATTTCCATGGGATTCTGAAGAGAGGAAAGCCTATCCAGGCAATGAGGAAAGAAGAGAAAACTGGAGAAAACATTATGTTTCCCTCCAGAAATATTATGCTGCCAGGAGTGGCTTGGAAGAAGCTTGTTCCAGCTGGTGCCCAAATTTCATTGGGCATACCATCTAGCTCAGATGTGCAAATACCAGAATCCCAAGACTTTCTGGACATACAGGCAAGAATCTTGGGTAGGCAGCATGGCAACAGTGGCTCATTCTTGCAGCCATGGAACCAAAAACACAAAGCTGTCAGAGGGCTTTTGTGAAAAGTATTTGCTAGGCCATCAGCTCAGGCTCAACCAAATAGATGGCTTGAGATAAAGCCAATGCCATGACCTTGGGCCAGCCAGGTGCTTGAAACAAAGCCAAGCAAGATATGTGGCTTGAAAAAAGGCCATGCACATGGCCAAAGGCAAGCTGCAGGCCTGCAAGAAGGCCATGCTTTGATACATATATCACATCTCCTCTGTGTCACCAGTGCTTGCATTATGAGCAAAAAGATGTGCGCCTTCCTGCAGCAACAACTATATGATTATTAAATTTCTATATGGTAAAAATTTCAATAATGTACATGGCAAAAATTTCAATAATGTATATGGCAAAAATTTCAATAATTATTGAAAAAATCAATAATTATTGAAAAGAAAATCGATAATTATTGATTTTTTTTCAATCTCCAATTTCAATAATTATTGAAAATTTTCAATATCCATTTCAATAAGGATTGAAACCGATATTGAAACAAAATATTGAAAAAAAATGCATTTCAATCCGGATTGATTTTTTTTTTCCAATCTTATTGAGATTTTCAATAAGATTGAAAAAATTCAATCCCTGGACCCTCAGGGCACAAGGTCCCAGAACTGCTGCATGGCTTGCTGGACATCGAGGCCTTCCTGGTGATGTGGACCCTCCTCCATACAGACCCGTCCTGATTTTAGTGGATTACTCTCCTTTGCAAGGATTGACACACCGCAGTGAACCTGACCGTGATCTTTACATGGCTCTTGCCAATTCAAATTTCAAGAACGTCAGTGCAGGAGAACTTGAAGCTCTTTTCACCTGGGCACGTCAGCTGGAACCAATCGAAGCAGGCATTCTTCCCATTCGAGACCTACGTACTGCCATCACAACAAGATTACGGACCCAATGGGACATCCATTTGGAACCTTCGAATTTGGAATTTCGCTACTGCGATCTGGAAGGTGATGCTTTCCAAGTTCCCAACGATTGGACCGTCATGCAGCTTTTGGAAGAATACCGACCTGATTGGCGTCTCCGGCAGTACAACTATATCGAATCCACCTTGCTCGTACCTGGTACCTCACAGCCTTTCGTGCTACGTCTGAGATGCCACAAGGTTAGCCCTGGAGTCATCCTACCCTGATTTGCTTCGCGGATGAACAGAAAAATGAACGATCGGTTCTTCTCTTTTGATTTACGAGATTTTATCACCACGGTAGACTTTCTGGGACTTCGCCTTTCGATTTATGGTCTGCCAATTTATTCTTCGTGTACTTCGTTACCCGTTTGTTACTATTATTCTTTTGCTTGGCATGCATGTGTGACCTCAGCTTTTGGGTTTTTTGCATTGAGCTTATTCTTGCGACCGTTTCACCCATGGAGCATAAACGTGACGCAACTGTGGCTGGCTTGGGGCTCTCCAAATGTCGTGATCCTGAACATTACTTCTACGGTCTTTCTGGCAATTGGGAGTGGTCCTTATACGCACTGCGGATTATTGGCGCCATCACTTTGAGATTCCTCTAGTACATGGGCACCATCCTTTTCACAATGTTCCCATTGAGACGACTTCTCCTGCAGAGGCACCCCGCCTAACTACCAAAATCCAGGAGTTAGCCAAACAACTTTCAGACACTTTGACGGCAGCTATGGCATCTGGAGAAATCAACGACACATGGAGAACTGTTGAAGGCATGAGCTTCCGCGACGCGATCCAAATACTTCAACTCGAAGCGAACTTCCCTTCTGAGTGAAATGACCGCAGCTTTGTACACTAGCATCGTGTAGGTTCATTTGCTTTGATTGGTTCTGCCGACCTCGACCGCGACGATCTTCCAAAATCAAACCCCGCTACATGCGGGGTGTGTGTGTGTAACATCTGAACAGATGTAAAACTTCTTCTTTTCTAATACTCTTACGTTTGCACGGGGCCAGGAACCCATGACTGTCTGTCCTGGCCAACGAAGACCAGACAGCATGGGGGTGAAAACGTACCTGCGATTTTTTGAACTGTTGAACAAGCTGTCGTATTCATTTTTTGCAATCATTGCGTGTGAATGGCGAGGGGCTAAGCCAAGTACCCCAACACCATGATTTTATTTCTCCACGGTTGCCACAATCTGCATTTTCGCCGAAACCACATCACGATTTTGCTGCATCAGAACCTTCCTCAGAGCAAGGACGTAGAAAGCACTTTTGTAACATTTTGTTTACATGATCGCCGACAACATCGTCGCCGACAATTATTTATTGGCTAATCTTCGCCGAGACATCGCCGATGATTATATTTCTGGTTTATCTATTCTTTTTGGTGTCGATTCTGAACCCGATGACCATTCTGAAGTACTTCTATTATTCGTAGGATGCATCGTTAATTTCATTGTTTTCGTATCTAATCTGCATGTTTCAGGATTCAGTTCCTGCCGGATCATATAATGATCCATTCTTGTCTAGTGTGTGCATGTGCTGAAAGCTAGAGATGCTTGAGGCTTCAGATGCAGGCTGGCCTTTTTCCAAAGTCAAGTTTGTGAAGGATTCTGCCTTCACAAAGTCCAGTTTGTGAAGAATTATGCCTTCACAAAGTCCAGTTTGTGAAGGATTCTGGCTTCACAAAGTCAAGTTTGTGAAGGATTCTGCCTTCACAAAGTCAAGTTTGTGAAGAATTCTGCCTTCACAAAGTCCAGTTTGTGAAGGATTCTGCCTTCACAAAGTCAAGTTTGTTAAGGATTCTGCCTTCACAAAGTCAAGTTTGTGAAAGATTCTGCCTTTTTGTGCGGTACTACTGGAAGCATCTGTGCTACCTTGCATGGTAGCGGACCCCTCGGTTCTGCAACCAGGGCTCAAGCTGGTCGCGCGGTTGCAAGGAGCGGCCTGCCAGAGGAGTGCTCTGCGTGCGACGAACGCACAAAGGCAAACAGGCCAGCTGCGGCCAAGTTTGCCCAACAGCGTTTGGGCCAGAGGAAACAGAGGTTCAAGCCAGTGAAGTCGCACCTGACAGCCTTTATCAGGCGGTTCCACGACCTAAGAAAGAAGAACGAAACAAGGCCTTTCCCAAAGGTCAAGCCAGAGGAAGTAGACGCACAAGAGGACGAAGAAGAAGAAGCCGACCCAGGTAGCGATGTCGACTTCAGCGGAGACGACCCCAGTTCCGGGGGGGGACCTGCAAGTCAGCCTCAGCAACAGCAGTTGTTGCGTGAGTTGGCTCAAGCAAGAGCGGCAATTCAGACCTTGGCTGGGCAGGTTGAAGCTCAGCAAACGCAACTCAACCAAATGAGTCAGGCCAGAAGAGATTCAAGACTGTCGGACTTGAGCGGGATGATCCCCGCAAATGAGTGGCTGAGGGTGTCAAACCAGGGTGCATCCTCATCCTTCAACCCCATCGTGGACACCCGAACTTTGGGGAAACCAGAGATCTTCAAGAGCGACCCATCCGAGTACTGTGATTGGAGCTTTGTCCTGAAGAGCTACTTGGCGTGCATCTCGCCTGACTACATAGATCTTTTGGACAGGATCGCTGGTGATAGGAAGCTGTCAACTCAGCTGTGCTACATCCTGGTGATGTTGGTGAAAGGCAGGGCCCTGGACGTAGTTCAGAACACAGGTCCTGGTGAAGGTGCTGAGTCCATGAGACGGGAAGAAATGTTTCACCTCCGTGTAGCCAGTCGGTTCGTGGGCACACTCAGCCTAAACCTCAGCACCAGATTTTCTGGTGACGATCCCGAAGCAGAATTGGAAGCCTTCGAGAAAACCATCCGGAGATATGAAGAAGAAAGCAGCAAAAGCATTGATGACGAGATGCTGATGGGAATCATCATCAACTCATCAACGGCATCCAGGACAACAACATTCGAGACCACGTCATCAGGAATGCCGTGCCGCGGAAAAGCAAAAAGGTCGATGATGAGCCAGAACCCTTATCAGCAGCCGTGGATGGCACTTTGCCAGATCTGATAGCTGCACTCAGCGGTTCCTGCAAACACGTTTTGGTTGACACTGGAGCCGGGTCCCCTTTGTTTGAAAAGAATTTTGACCCAAACGCCACTACCAAAACCAAGGGCTCAAGTAGTGGCATGGTCACTGTAACAGGGGAAACTGTGGACACCGGTTTCAAGAAGAAAAGTGTGATTGCAGTGAACAATGGTACGAAGTTTTCGGTTGAATACTTTGAATCAGACAAGATCAATTTCAGCGTTTTGTCAGCTGGTCAAGCTGCGCGGTGTGGAGTTTGGACAGTCATTGTCCTGAGTTTCACGCACTTGTTCAAGACAACAACGCAAGGGATTTGAACAACATCCTGGATAGGACCCCGTCAATTCCATTCAAGAAAAACCGAGGCGTGTTTTGGTTACCCATCAAACCCCTAAAGCGCACCAACACGAATGCGGGTAGCACCGCTGGTCATGATGTGGGAAGCTCCACTCATGATGTTCGCGGCGCTGTGAGGCCAGCAGCCAAAACAGTGGCTGCTGAAGCCTACGCTGAGGAAGGCGCGCCATCAGGTGAGGGTGGCGTAGAAGTGGTAGTTGAGGACCCCAACCACAGGAAGTAGTTGAAGGGCCTCTCCCACCAGTAGGTGAACCCCCTGAAGAAGTTTCAGAAGATACAAGAAAACCCAAGCAAAGAAAATCCCATATCACGTTTCAAAGGCAGAGTTCCACACTCACATGCTGACACACCTTCCGGCACGTACGTGGTGTGACTTTTGCATGAAAGGCAAGGTCAGAGAGGATGGTCACTTCAAACGTCCTGAAGGAGTAAACCCATCCGAAGTCCCATGAGTCAGCATGGATTATTGCTTTTTGGGTAGGTATATCAGCAACCCCCCTGGGGAAGCGACAGAGACAGTGGCTGAATGGAAACAGGCTCAAGATGATGAAGAAGGAGCGCTGCCAGTACTTGTCATCACAGATGAAAAGTCAGGCTGCATCTTTGCAGGTGTGGTCAACAAAGGTGTTGACAAGTACGCCGTACATCTGGTCACTGAGGGGCGGAGGAGCACAGGACGCCAGAAAATGATTTTGATGACGGACGCTGAGCCTTCGATCAGGGCATTGGCCGAAGCTGCAGGCAAAGAATGGGGCAAGGAGTGCCAGATCCAAGTGGCTCCTCGAGAGTCACATGCTTCGAATGGTGCAGCGCGGAAAGGGCTATCCTTGAGTTGGCGAGGAACTGGAAACCCTCGCCCTCCTAGTGGAGTTCAAACCTGGGAGGCTTGCCTGAATGGTAGACAGGTTGCCGACAGGTTGTCGCCTTCACAGACAGTGGGGCCGTTCGTGGGGCCTTCCTGAAAAGTTTCTCTGGAAACGGCAGCCGCAGCGAAGTGCCCCCGCCGACCCAATGTCCAGGTCGTGGAAAGTCTCCGGGGGCTTCAGCGTACCAGATGCGAGGTGCATCACCTTTGGCAATCACGTCCAGTCTTCAAGGGGTGGCATCGCGAACGTGACTTAAAACCGCAGCGTCCAAAAAAGAGCTGCTGCAGTTTGATGCGTATCAGTAATGAAAGGCAAGTCCGGTAATGAGGTAAAGGAAGATGTCTTGTGGACATGTGTGCACATTGTGTTCAAGAAAAATAAGACACGACTCATGGAACATGATAGGGTATTATTTCGGAGAAACCAACAGAGTGCATCTTGGTGAACGGTGCAACGCATGTCTTGACGATTTGCATCATTTGAGAAAATTTTCTTCTGAACTTTGAGGTGAAGGAACGATATTGAAGATTAGCATGGCAAGTGAACTTTGTGGAATGGAACAGGCGCGTGATCATGGTGACTTTGTCGGTGATATTTTTATTTCGTAGCTGGCGTCAAGTGACTCAGCAAAACACATGTCACTGAGGACTTTCAGGGTTTTGTTTGCACAACCATGTTGAGGATCAGATCCCAGGTTGTGACATGTGTTAAACAAAGTCATCAATTTTCTTTTTGTGTCAATTTTTCATCCCTACCGGTTTTCACCCCCACCCTCATCAAACACACATGCCTCCAATCTAAGGGCAAATTAGAGCAAGTGCTCTCCATTTCAACCCTTCTCAGTGATTGTAACTTGATTCTATGTTCAACTCCGCTTTTCTCAGTTGATTCCGGTTGTAATTTTGCACTTTGCGTATCAATTCGTGCCATGTCAGACCTGTCAGACCACGATGTCATCCAAGATGAAGTCAGCTTGCAGGAGTTGCTGACACCTCTGATTCCCACAGGTACCCACATTGCCCGCATCAATGATATGTGTTGGATGTTAAAATCCATGGCTGAGTCATTAGAGCAGGATCATCGTCGGGCAAGTGACCAGTTACGTGTAGCAGCTTGCAGTCTTCAGAGTACAATCGAATATTTTGAAGCTACCCGATGGCATCAGTTGCTGCAAATCCGCATTAGCCTTCAAAATTCTGTCCGCCGATACGGAAGATTCCTTGCTCTTGACATCTACGGACATTGCGGCGGTTGACATGACAGCGCATTTATTTGTCAAACTTCCGACTGGGTCGCGACAATCACTGTCGTGTAGCCTACCCCCAGCCGTTTGGCATCGCGAACGTGACTTAAAACCACAGCGTCCAAAAAAGAGCTGCTGCAGTTTGATGCGTATCAGTAATGAAAGGCAAGTCAGGTAATGAGGTAAAGGAAGATGTCTTGTGGACATGTGTGCACATTGTGTTCAAGAAAATCAGGTGGTTGTAAGAAGATCTTGTCAAGATCCAATTGCAAGTGAAATCCTCCAAGAGGGCCTTGCATGATCTTGTACAGGTCCTTGTGAGAACTCTCAGATCTGCAAAAGAGCCTTGTGCCAAGATCGTGTAGAGGTCCCTGTAAGAAGATCTTGCAGAGATCCTTATGAAATCCCCCAACAGGTCCTTGTGAGAAGATCTTGTGGAGATCCGGGCGAATTCCTTTAAGAGGCGCTTGCATGATCTTGTACAGATCCTTGTAAGAAGATCTTGTGGAGACCCAAGTGAAATCCTGGTCAGTAGGACATAATGTTGCTCCTTGTGACAGAAGAAATTCCTGCTGCCTCAGTTACGAAAATATCAAGTTTGATCTACGGCATCCGTATAGGTACTGTTGCTTGTATCTCCTACATTGATATCTTATCCACCACACTGTTTGGGGTCTCTTGCTGGTGTAATCTCTTTTTGTAGGGGCTTGGGCATGTTTGGACATGTCCAACGGGAAAACAAACAACATTACACACGTTCAACATGCATCATTCCTGTCGCCGTCACATCACCGTCACATCATCGTCTCCTTGCCCAGGACGTCCAGGAAGTTCATAAACACACCCGTGATCCTCTGAATTTGGAGTCGGTGATGGTTTTGCAGATGTCGGAGCCAGAAAAATCAGGCGTGCGGAAGGTGGCCAGGCTTCTGACGCACTGCAGCCCGAAGAAGTACTTGAATTTCAAGGTGAAGATGTTTGATACGAAAGATTTGGATTATGTGGGAGGAGAGCTTGGAAGTGCACCACGCAACCAGAACCACTTGAGCCTTTTGTCGACCAAACTCAGCTCCATGGTGATGCAGACGGATACCGAGTTCCAGGCAAAGCTTGGGATGCAAAAAACGTTCGACCTGAAACTCAACCAGCTGGTGTTGCCGGATCTCACATGGAACTTTCCAAATTGTTTTAAGATTCTAAGATGTTTTATGGTGTAGGAGAATGGCTTCGGAGTTGCACTGATGGAAACAAGTGGAAACACCTCAATTTCCAAGAGGCCAACAGGATTATACTGCCGGATTTGCTTAGTGGCTTAGTGATCCGGGATATTCGAGGGTGGCAGCGGCAGCGAGATTTGTAGTGCTAGAGTCAGGAGTCAGCAGGATGATGGTTTGGAAAATTTTAGCAAAAAGGCAAGAAATACTTTCCTATGACGCAAAAAGGATCAACAAATTTGAGCTATAATTCAGAAATCTGTAAATAGGAACACAGAAGAAAAAAGAAGTGAACAGTAATTAACAGTTGCAAGTCGAGGACTAGAACGGAGTTTTTTGGTATCCTGACCATCACTGACATGTTCTTCCACTGGTTGGTATCTTAGTATCAGTATTGCTTAGATTTCCATGACGTATTGGCAACATGACAGCAGGTTGCTTTAAGTCAGGAGAATGTCCTTGACAACTGACAGGTTGGCAGCTGGGCTTCATTGGGTGGCAGTGAGGCTGCAGCAGACTTCTTGAAGTTGAAGCAAGAGGCTGGAATGGCTTTGCTCGGCACCGAGACGACCCAGACCTGCACGGAAGCCAAAGAGCAAGAAGCGGACACCTGGAACGCCATTGGCATGGGATTGAATACGTCTAAGTGTGGAAAATTTGTAGAGGCCCTTCAAATTCCACAATCTGCACCTGTCAAATTGTCAAAGGGAACTCTTCTCAGACCCCTAACCCTCCAACGTAATGTCTGATGTGTCAAGTCTATATCTTTAAGTCATTGTTGGATTCTCTGACAGGCCAGCCGCACAGGGAAAATCAGCGAATGAGAACCCGATAATCACATCTTGTTGTGATCTCCAGTGACCCACTGGATTCAAGTCGTCCAAGGAGAAGATTTGTGCCAAACACCTCCCAAAAGATGACGACCACGCAGAAGTTTTCATCGACTGCGTCTACGATGTCTGCCATGGAGGTGGAGAAGAAGATGCCCTGAGTGCCGCTGCATTGATCTCTGCCTAGCTCTGACCTCATGTCAGATGGGCCGTTTCAAACTCTGTTTTGAATTCCGTCTTGAAAACAGAGCTAGCTAGGCCAGTCAGAGTTTTGATGTTGCTTTCAACGCTGCCCCGTGGGCTTATATTATAAATTATAATATGTTCCAGATTGATCAGATTGCGAGCACACGCCTCCAAAAGCGGAGTCGTCCGCCAGCTGCATCACACCGTCGTTTGTGCAGGGTCGCTGACCATACTCGAAACACTTCTAGTATAAAACATAGTAGAACCATGTAGAACCATCAGTTGAGAGGAGAGTTGAGCAGTGTCACACCCTCATGCCTTTTTCGTTTTTCTTTCGTCCGGTCCTTTCAGATGTTGTCCGCTATTGTCCATGAACCGGGTATGTGGGCGTCACCACTCTCCGAGATCTTGCCTCAAGTGATCTGTGGGTTTCCGGTTTCCAGACTTTGGCCACTCAAGGACGGCACTCATAGCAAACGAGCATTGGCAATCGACCAAGCCTGCTACCTTCAACAGGCGATCCGTCCCAGTGATATGTGATACAGGAAGATACGGTATACAAGCATCAGGCGTTGAACTAGACCCAAGTTCACCTTGACTTGCCTTGCTTCAGTGCTTATGTTCAAGAATCTGTGTCAGTTGACGGAACTAAACTTTTCTGCACGTTACTCGTTGAATCAGATGCCCTCCGACATATGACGGGTCGTAAGCAGCCCACCACGATCCGTTTTGATTGCAGAGACCGGATTTCTTGCACCTTTCATGTATCCGGCTGTGGACCCCAACTCAGGTCACATCTGAAAGGGTTCTGGATTCGGGAACAGCTGTTCCTTGAAATTCCTTCCCTACATTTGTTTAGCTTAGACAACCAATGCGAATTCATTCATTCCGGTTCTCAATTCTTTCTTAAGAGGTGTCCGGGTTTCTGCACGTGGTGGTGTCCGGCTCTCCGGATGTCTCAACATTCATTTGTCTCCCAGTCTGACTGGCTGGTGGTGCCCGGCTGTTTGTCTTCACTTGTCTCCCTACATTTGTTTCCCAATCTGGCTCATGGTGTCCGGCTCTCCGGATGTCTCTCTTTACTCTTTTCCCTTTAATGGTTTGTCTCCCGGAATGCCTAGTGCTGCCCCGGTCTTCGGATGTCTCTCTCTCCTTGTCTCCCGTCATTTAACTCCCTCTCTGGCTAGTGTTGTCCAGGTCTCCGGATGTTTCTCTTCACTTGTCTCCCTTCATTTGTCTCCCGCTCTGTCTAGTGGTATCCGGCTCGTCTTCGGATGTCTTTTCTTTGCTTTCACTTCTCTCTCATCAGGTGTCTCTTTCCATGTGTCTCCCAACTTGCTTGTCTCCCAATTAATTTGTCTCCAATCACGGGTCTGCCTTTGTGGTGGCGTCGGGCTTTATCGCCTTGTCATCATCTGTCTCTCACCATCTGTCTCCTACTTCATTTGTCTCCGATCATATGTCTGCCTTAGTGGCGGTGTCCTGTTCTAGTTTCATCATGATTTCATTTGTGCTTCGGGTTTGTCTCTGTTCTTTACTCCCTTTGTGTCTTCCTGTTGCCTCAAGATAAAATCATGCTTCACCATATTTTTCTTTGTGTTTTACCACTGGTCTCCCACTTGTCTCCTACCTTGTCTCCCCTTCATAGTCTCAGACACAAATGGCGTGGCAACAAATCGAAACCATGTGGCATCAGAAAATGTTGCCTGTGATTCATGCTGTTCTCAAATGACATGGATCAACAATGATCAACAATTGCCAGCACCAGGAGCTAGTATCACCATGTATAACCATAAACATGCACACAGACGCTGCAAATCGCTGCAATGGGTTTTTTAGGGGGAAATCGTTGGTTGTGGAAGGACAAAGCCATGGTTCGGGGGCATCCTTTGGTCGTGGGACACCCACTGAACATGGCTGCTTTCAGTGGGAAACGCCAATGGCATAGCAACATCTTTTGGAAATACCCGCATTTGCAGAGCGG